CCAACCATCTCAAAATATGTGCCATTATTGTGCGAAATATAGTTACTTCGGTTAAAAATAATATTATCAAACAAAAAAATTCATAATAACAATATTTATACTTAATATAAACACTTACATAAAATAAAAACGATAGGTAAACTTCCGACAAAAATGATACGCGAGTGCTCGCGCGCTCTACTATTGTAGAATTTTAGTTTTGGTGCGAAATTTCTAACAAGTGCGATCGCGCAGTTTGCCGAAAGGGTACTAATTGTGATCACCAGCTAGTAATAGAGGAATACTATGAGTGTGTGCGTTAGACACCCACAATTAATGTTAAAATCCCACGAAATGCATGCCTGTTCTACAATAGTAGAACGCGCGACTAATGGAGTGTTAATGCTAGTGTGTTTTGATGGAGAATGCAGAAAATAGGAGACCCATTTTACTCGAAGCCGCTCCAGCTTCTCGATATCACCATCGCACATCGCGATAAAACTCGCAATACCATCCATACCATCTGGATGTTTGGCGGTCCACCACTAGGGTTTGGGACTTCCCGACAATTTTTAAGTCCCGGGACACGAAACAGTCTACTATCAAAGTCCCGGAAATTCCCGGGACTTCGACTTTTGAGAATTTTTTTTTAAAGAGAAGTGAGTCTTTTTTTTGAAGAATTTTAATTCAGTAAATTTCTGGTGAAACGTATTGAAGAAGGCAAGTCTTTGCTTGTTTAATAAAATAGGCTTTTAAAAAAATCAGAGCGTCAACAGCTTTGTTCGACAATTTGTTTCTGATTTTTGTAATAATGCCACCGGACAAGGAGAACACACACCCTCGTTTTCAACATATGTCGGTTTGATTGTGTTTAAGGCTTTATACAGTAGTTCCAAACTTTCTGTACGTTTTCCGGTTGCTTCAAACAACTGAAACTCCTTTTGTAATTTAACTAACAGATGGCGTTAGGCTCCTTCAATTATTTGAAAATAAAAATGATGATATCATAACATTTTCGACAATCTTGTCTCGTCTCGAGCCTTTACCCGAAAGTTCCGGGACTCGAGACAACTAAAATTACGAAAAGTCCCGGGACTTCGAGACACGAGACGTCCCGGGACCTACCAGGACCCAAACCCTATCCACCACCGTGCGACTTAGAAGTTTTCTTCTTCGCACAACTTCCTTGGTGAATCGACTACAACCAGAGATTTTTCTGGACCTATACGATATAGGGACCTTCAAAAAGAGAGCCTACTCTCTTTGCATCGCATCTGCGATTCCTCTGGTGTTGTAGTTGTTCATAGGCGGCGGTAGTCAGGTGAGCCTTCAGGAGAGCCGTATGCACGTTTGGCCCCTCACCCATAAAAATAAAAAAATACCGTCAGGTGCTCATTTGTCACCCATATTCTATAAAAATGTCCCTCCTATGCGGCGATCTGTGGGGGGCCCGTGTTAAGCAGTAGGTCTGATGGGCTGTAAACTCTAATAAATCAATGAAGGCTAAATAATTTTTCGCTCAGTGATGTCGCTAATTGACACTGAGGTTAAGTTTTTTGGTACACAACGTCATTTAATAAAAGTATATATAGTAGAATATATATTATAAAATAAATTTTTAAATAAAATTTTATCAGTTTCTAGAGTATTATATTAATATCTACACAGAACAGTGTCTCAGTGGCTTGCTCGTTAATTTTTGCACATTTTGAACTCTTTAATTATCTTTTTTATTATCTCCTTTTATGAATATCTGTTTTTAATCTAAATAATATAAAATATAACTAATAGTATGGTACGTGATACGTAATAGGGTCACCTTAAACTTTGCCGCTCTATAACACCAAACTAGGACGAAGACAGAGACAAAAACACAAAGTCGTGTACTATAACTAATATATTAAGAAAATAATAGCAAACAAGCTCTGGCAATACTCAGGAACACTTCGAAAAATCAACTTAAAAAAACTAAAGACACCATACAATACTAATATCGACTAAAATATTTACGATAATGTATTCTGTCAAAATGGCGTCGATAAAGCAGGACATTTTAGACCCTTTATTATTAGGTTCACAGATGAAGAGCTATCATATCACAGAGTTATCTATGCAAACACGGCTGTAGTTTGTGAGTTATAAAAAACCGGCCAAGAGCGTGTCGGGCCACGCTCAGTGTAGGGTTCCGTAGTTTCCCGTCCGTCACAATAAGTGTTCCCACTTACGAGTTTGTACAAAAACTGTTGTTTCCATCCAAGTTCAAAATGATTTTCCTAGAAATTCCTTATAAAGTTCTACTTTTCAGATTTTTTTCATATTTTCTAAACTTATAGTTCAAAAGTTAGAGGGGGGGGACACATTGTTTTTTACTTTTGGAGCGATTATTTCCGAAATTATTGACATTATCAAAAAATGATTTTAGTAAACCCCTATTCATTTTTAAATACCTTTCCAACAATATATCACACGTTAGGGTTGAAATTAAAAAAAATCACTTCCCACTTTACATATAGGGGGGGCTACCCTAATAAAACGTTTTTTTTTCCAATTTTTATTTTACCACTTTGTTGGCGTGATTGATACACATATTGGTACCAAATTTCTGCCTTCTAGTGCTAACGGTCACAGAGGTTAAGCGAGGACGGACAGACGGACAGACAGACATGGCGAAACTATAAGGGTTCCTAATTGACTACGGAACCCTAAAAAGTGACCATATTCACCGAATGACCATATTACCCTCACGTACTATACGGAAAGAAACATTAACTTTTAAATTTTTCGAAGAAATTAATTTCGCCGCTATGAAATCTGTCAAATATTACATCATGTTTAAGTGGTGCTGTCCTGGTGGCAGAAAAAGTCGTGGATTAAAAAGTCATTGATTGATAGCCCATTGTATTTAAATTTAAAGCTATATTATTTTTATAGGCGCGTGACGGCATTAGGTACATGAAAGGAATAATAAGCATTTATGCAATATCTCTATTAGATTACATCGTCTTATAACTAATGGGAGCAATTGAAAACCGTAATAGAGTTTGATTGTCTCGTACTTTCAATGGATACGCCTTGTTTAATATGCAAGTAGATCTGGCCGCTTACCTTGTTACAAATTATCAGAGTAATGTCATTTTTGACCTTTTGAACGCTGGCAAGGATAGCGGGGCTGCCAGATTGCACTTAAAATTACCAGAGTTTTTACGACACATATCGAAATTACACATGTAATGTTTTTTTAGACGTAAAGATAAACTTGATGGTAAGTGTTTGCTGTGGCCCATATATTATGCAACTATATGTTTATTCTTCACTAAAATCGCAGATGCCTTTTCTTTGAGGACAGGATCAAAACTCTGTGTGAGCTAAATCTTTTCCAGTCGAGTTGATCAATCGTATAGAGGACAACGTGGTCTTAATATGCCATAAATTTAAACATATTTTTCTATTCGGGACACATAGATCGACATTATTTGTACCTATACATAGTTGACTCACAGTTGACTGGGAGAAAATGCATAAGTGAATTAAGTCCGCCATTTATAATCTCCTTTTTTAAGGTACTAGCTAATACTCGCTAGCTTCGCTGGACGCACGATAATATAACGTAGATATAAAATATCAAGATTTTTTATGGGACTATCGTTCTTAGTGAGCGTCTACATCGTGCGTCGAAATGAATAACTGTACTCAATTTTAAGTCAATAGAGTGTATAGTTTTTTTTAGTTTTAGTTTTTTTCAGTTTTTATTCAGTGGTATTTCGCTTATACTATATAAACAATAAAAATTTAATAAAAAATGTCGTTTCAAAGCTTCACAAAGGAAATATTAAAGTATTAAAGAAAATGCTAAATTGAACATGTTTTATACTACATCGTTGATGCACTCAGCCGTGTCTGCCTTGTGCGCATGACAAGATTAGAGAGCACGAGTGTACGCGCAAGCACAGGTGCACCTCACATGGAACACAACCTACTATAGTATATATATATATATATATATATATATATATATATATATATATATATATATATTAACAAAAGTAATAACCGACTTTAAATTGCTTAAAAAGAAGTTATTTATTTGCAACCCTTAGGGGTGGAAATCTTTTACTGTCCAAATGCGAAGATATCGCATAACATACGTACAAAAAAACATACACACTAATTGAGAACCTCTTCCTTTTTGAAGTCAGTTAAAAAGGAATGTCCAATTATCAAACACCTGGCAACCCTAAACATGTAATGTCTGAGTCAAAAACTTTGCGAGAGTTTCAATCCAGTTCCGGTTTTCGAAACAAATTGATGGTATCATTGTCTTCCGGCAAACGACATATTCTTACTACAATGTTAAAGTGCAATGACGCAGAGGTTGTATATAATTTATGACAAGCAGACTGGATTACTCAGGCCCGTAATTATTGGTTCGAATTGGTTGAATTTTGGAAATCTGCGAAATAACTTGACTAATAATGCTTCGTACAACTCTTTGAAATACATTTAAAATATAAACAAATCACAAAAGCTGAACGAGATAATTGGTACAGTGTTATTTTATATTGACTCTCTAGAAAGTCTGGAATTAAATACACCTACAGAAAAGACCATAGTAGAAGATTTTCTGCCAGGCCAACTAGTAACCGATAAAATTTTTAGGTCATTAATTTACTGAATTTCTCTCACGCAGGCCTGTATCAACTTAGACTAGCCACCTACAGGACAGGAGAGTATATTAACAAAAACAGATGCACTCTCATCTCTCACAGTCCGATGGTAGAACAATCTGAGACGACCGGTGGAGGACAAACACCACTAATTTCCCGACTATAAGCTGCTACTGAAAATGTCTTGACTGAATAACCTAATAATTTTAACCAGATCCGGGAATCGACGCGAGGACTTCATGATCAGCAGTCCCGATTACTACCACTACATTAACGAGGCAGTCATTCGTTAATATAGTTAACAATTATTAATACATACTTCTGTTTCCTTAATGCGTTTTTATTTAAATCTTTCAGGCCATTTTTCAGCGAGGAAGTTCATCCTTTTATGAGGCAAATGGCCAAGGGGCTGAAAATGAAAGAGAAGTGTCCATGTTCCAAGAGTGATTATTGTAAATGATATTTTAAAAAAAAGTAACTTTATTAAATATTTTGTGTTGCTATATAAACCGTTTTTATTTATATTAATTAACCTTTGAATAAAACGTGACTATAATGATGTAACATGTACGTCACAGGTAATTTGTATGATTGCGCCGTTTACATGCAGCGTCTTCAGTTAAAAAATGCCCGTAGGTATGTAATATGCCGAAGGCAAAATGAGAACTCGTACAACCTTCCAGCGGTCGCACCCTTGCGCTAAACACAAGCGGCCGCGCGCGGTCTGTGATTCCGCAATTTTAAGTGTCTTGTTTCGGAAAACAAATGAATATTTTAACTTATTGTATAGCACATGATTAAAAAGAGGTCTTAAACATGTAAAATAAAATAAAAACATATTTATTTACATGTCATTTTTTTATTTTAACTTAATAGAACAAAGGTCTATAAAAACTCAGAATTTTTGTCCCTGGGTGAAAATCACCGTTATAAATCAACAAAAACAAAAAAAAATGATATTTCCTTTTTTTAATGCTAACAACTTAGAAACTTGACTATAATTATCTTAGAAACAAATCACATTCAACAACAATGGCACTGTGTAATAGGAACTCTAAAATTACATTTATTTTTAGATCATTCTATGTAAAATTCTAGTTATAATCTAAATTATAATGAAATAAAATAAAGAAAATATACTTAAAAGCTACCAATTATTATTTTAGAAAAACTATAATAAATTATTCGTTATTATTATCCATAATATCTACTTGTGATGAACATTCTCGGCATATAACAATCACATGTTCTAGACGCATGTGTTTTCCATATTTGAAACAACTATACTTTTCTAACTCGACGTTATAAGTTTTCGTAATTCATTGTCTACAACAAAAATACATTTTTTAAAACTACACTTTTATAATATTATAATATAAAACGTAAAAAGTAATAATAAGATACACAAAACATGAAATGTTTACCCCCGTTTCACTTTAATCGCACTGGATCTCTAGTATACGCAGTAATCTATGCACTGGATTAGGGATATTCCGATACTAGTGAATACGATTTTGATTCGATACCAAGTATTTATAGCATCGAATCAATCTTACGATACATACTCGGTATCGAAACAAAAGTATTTGGTATCAAATCGAATCAAAATAAACAATTAAATTTCTTTTTTCGAACGCATCAGTCAGATAGAGAGAGTGCGTTTGGCAGAAAAAAGCACTAGCAAGCGCTTGTAAGCAAAATGGCGATCGTAAGCGGTAAGCGCTATCAAATCGTAAGTAGCTATTTTCCTCTAGGACACGATGTTAGTTTTAACCGGGGAACCTAACCTAATTTAAATATATGTTTGTGATGTATTCATATTAAAAACTTACCAATCATGAATTTTTAATAACATGTAAAATGTCTATTCATGTGATTATATTACTTAAAACTAATATTGCAAAAAAAACAACTTATAAAGTCTACTTCAAAACAAACAAATTAAATAAGCAAAATGGCGGATTGTGTCAGCGCTACTGAAGTAGCAATCGTGTCCTGGCCGAAAACTATTTTAGCGCTAGTAAGCGCTTGCTAGCGCTTTTTTCTGCCAAACGTACCCATCGCATGGCAGCGTGAGTGACGCGAGCCGAACTTGTCCGACTTCAGCCGAACCGAGCCGAAAGCGAGAAAGCCACCTTCCCGCCCGCCATTTAGGTTGCCATGTTATTGTCAACAAATAAAACTATACGTACTTTGTTTAAACTGAGTGATTGTTTACGAGTAATTTTAATTATTGTAATCATCGGCTTATTATTCCAATGTTATCATGGCACCACCAAAATCAATAATATGGACACATTTTACTAAAACAAACGAAACGGTTGCAAAATGTAAACAGTGTAAATTTTTGTTTTAATTATTGTCCTTCAAAGTTCATTGCTTTTACGTTAGTAAAGCAAAATTTGCTAAAAATATCGATATCAGTAAGTATTGATACTTTAGGAGTATTTATATAAGTAGTATCGAAAAAAGATTTGAGTACTATCGAAATGAGTAGGTATCGATACTTTGATGGTATCGGAACATCCCTACACTGGATTGTTGTGGAACACATTCGGTCGCGCGCGGAATCTGAGACCGCAAACACAAATAAAAAAGCACGTGTGCATGCGACGAATGTCACGGGGCCACTGAGGGGGTGAGGGGTGCTAACTCACCTTCCCGAGGATATCACGGAAGCGCAAGAGTCTATTGTTTATAGATTTAGTAAATTGACTAAAATAAGTTCGTTGCGGACTCAGAGACCGCGCGCGACCGTTGGAAGGTCAATTGTTATAATTTTAACGTTTGCTGTAGTTTTAAGGTTTCTTTATTTAGTTTTAGTCAGATTTTATTTCAGCAATCAGGTACTAATGACCTTGACCTTTGGCTTCAGTTCTGGATTTTATTTGATTGCGTTACTTTGGATTGCTCACCAGGCATGAGAATGAGCGATTATTATAGATGAGTCGAATTTGTACTAAAATTGAATCAGAACGTCCCGACTCCACATAGTTTGTCTGCCCAACCACTAGTGTTTTTGTAAAGTCGTAGGGCGCGGAGGGAGAGCAGCCCTGCCCGCTGTAGCAAATTATTTTTAATTATTAATTATATTGAAATTTTTAGTGTGGTTCTCCCGGGTTACGCCCATCTTCATTTCATTATAATCAAATGTCATGCGGAATCATACGTAACATGGTAGAACATAAACTATAACTAATGTTCTATATCACTTAACAACAGCTTTTTTAAGTCCACTGTTACTTTTTCAACCGACTTCAAAAAGGCGGAGGTTCTCAAGTCGAGCGTGTTTTTTTTTGTATTTAACGCGATATCTTCGCAGATTGTGAAACGAATTTAATAATTCTTTTTTTTTATACTTAAATAGGTTATAGGGTGGTCCCATATACATTTGGAGAAAAAATTCCATCCCTAAGTGTTGCAAATAAATAACTTCTTTTTTAGCAATTTGGGGATGGCATGCTCGTTTCTCAGCTTCAGCGAGACAGTTAGCCGCGTACCGGTAAGCGAAGTGTAGGGCGACCCCCCACTAGATGGAGTATTGACCTGGTAAACATGCAGGAACTAGATGCAGAAGGCTCAGGACCGAGCTTTGTGGCATTCTTTGGGGCAGGCCTATGTTCAGCAGTGGACTTATGATGGGCTGTAATCTGATGGTAAGTGAATGCTGTGGCCCATAGAACATACATCAGTTTTCGATAAGAAATCAAAATGCAGACGCTATTTTCAACGCTGAGGACTAAAAAGAAATGCGTTATCAGTAAAATAGGGTCCTTGGTACTTGTTACTCACAGCAATTGAAACAAAAGCATTACCCATATATATAAATATAATTGAAGTGTCTAATATCGAATGTGTAATATCGAAAATTAGACAACAAAAATGGTCTTTGATTAATAGATCTTACTTAGACGAAGCCGGGGCGGATCGCTACTAAATAATAATAGGTTAATCAAGTTACTGTGACTCATACTACATCCCCGCATACATACAAATTATAGCGTACTATTAAAAATGCTGCTATTTTACGCTAGTAGTCTAAAGAGTCTGGTCCATTCTTAGTCGAACGAACCAATTTGCACTGCGACTTGGCACTACCTATGCAATAACCTTATTTAAATGCCGCTAATAACTTTTTTTGTAGGATACGGGTGACAAACGAGCACACAGTCCATGTGAGGTAAGTGATTGCTGTGGCCCGTAGACATCTACATCTATCCTCGATTACGAATCAAAATACAGATGCGTTGTCGTGAGGACTAAGATAGAATGCCTCGTTTCCAGTAAAAAGGATATCAGGTTCTCTACAATTACCATACGAAACACAGAAGCGTTAAGCTGCTATTTTACACAGGTATTCTGTGAGAGCGTGGTCCTTCCCCGGTCGAACCGACCCATTTGTGTTACAACCATAATATAGCTGCAGCGTGACTCTACCACGTATTAAAGCTGGTTGTAATCTTATAATGGTATTATCATACACAGTCCGATGTGACTTACCGATCAGTTGCTTATGTACATATTTTATGTCAATTGGCAAGTTTGGAATACATCAAACACCCTCTGACATCATTCACATTGATGTTAGGATTCACATCAGATTAGACAACTTCTCGGAAAATTGTGTACGTGACTGATCCAAGTACCAAATTTTAATGCTTTGTGCGTGCTGTTTTGGCTGATTTACTTGTCGATATGTCTCATGTACAGTAGGTATAGTTGTGAACAAATATGTTATCTACTTTTTCAGATTCGTACCTAAAAGCTCTAAATAATAAATAGACTTTTGCAAAAGAAAAAGAAAAATATTATTAAACACTCAAATTATTATTTTATTATAAAATAAATAATTGGTTTTTAAAGAAATTCAATTTGCGTGTAAAATTTTTGAAAAAAAAATACATTTCGTATTCATCGTGGATTTTGTTAGGGTCATCCCCAGGTCTGTTTCCATTTTAGTAACATGATAGAGCCGTAAAAAAGATAGTTGTGCCTCAGCCTCATGCTTATATTAATAACTGTAGGCAGGTAGATATATTTTAAGCCTTAAACTTCCAAATAATTTTTAATATATGTGGTAGTAAAGGCGTCCTTTTCTACCGAGTAGTCAGTCTAGACAGGTACTTACACTGAATGCACTGCTGTCGATAGACAGCAGTGCATTCAGTGTTGTGTCCCGATTAGAATTATACAAAATGTAACATAACGAACATCCTGGAAGTAGTTTGTTCAGAATCGTTTACTGAATCGATTCCTATCATTTTTAATATAGGTAATTTTTTATCATAGGTAATTTTTCACACTAAATCTGTACAGTCAAAACAAACTGAAGTGAACCGTAACTTAAGGCAATAAGACTTTTAAGAGTGCAGTTTTATTTGTATTATTACTGATTCTGTCATTCAATAAATAAACTTAAAAAAAAAACAAACAATAACAATAAAAATAAACTTTATTTCAAGCACGTTAAAGTCTTTGCGCTCGTGGATTTGTACTGTGACCACAACATTCTTCCGTAATTAGTATAACTAATTTGATAAATAATCAGTGCATAAAAATGTTTAACTAAAAATTCAGTGTATGTGTTATGATTATAACATAATACACTAATTGGGGTGTCTGAGGGTGTGCGTTAATTACGTTACATATTGTATATAAATTAGAAAGACAAAAGAGACAGTATAATTTTTTTAACTAGGAATTTCCCCTGTATCGTGGGATAGTTTACATACACAAATTTCACATACAAATACTTGTTCCGTGCGGGATTCGAACCAACGGCCCACAGCGCTGCAACTTATTGCTAAGTCACTGCGCCACGAGCCAATTAAAAGTTGTATGCATCTATTATTCCTTAGAGGTGATATGAGCTTATTTGCCGTTTTAATATAAAAAAATTGTTTACTATAGCGTATTAATAAACTCAACTTACTTATAGCACAATTGTAGACAACAAAGTTTAAACAAAACTTTACTTATCGCCACAATACATCAGTCACTTAATGCACTTCTGTCAATGACAGTACAAGACAACGATTTTCCTGTAGGAAGAGGTTAATTCATGCCAATAAAAAAATATTACGAAGGCAACTCGTAATGTTATGATTTCATTCAAAAGATTTTCCTCAATCTGTTTGTCCTATATAAACTTTAAAAATGTGCATAATCGGCACAGTCTTATCCAAACACGATGGACGCTAAGATCTGGGTATTACTAGCCATTGCAATTACAGTTCAATGTCGCGATATAATCGTAGGTTCGATTAACGGTGGCCATAAAATATTTGACGAAAACAAACAAGCAAGTCCGGCGTTATGGCGGCGGACGGAGAATGTAACGATTACGGCAAACGAAAACGAAACAATTGGTGGAATTATTGTCACAGATTTAAGAGAAGAGAAGGATGGCGATGCTAAAATAGTGGAAGGTGGAGAAGGACAGAACAACATTACCATTGAACTAAAAAGCCCTGCTGTACTGAGAGGATTCGACTTCCATATTGAAGCTTACGCCGTTTCTAAAAATCAACAGAAATCTACCGAACAAGAAATTAGAACAATTGAATCAGATAAATCTACTGAAAATTCAAAAGCAGAAACAAGTTTAAATACAGACGCAAGTATACCTATTAATTTAGCCAAAACTCAAACATCTTCGTCTTCGGAAAGTTCTTTAGAATCAATCACAAATAAGGCAGAAAAAAATAATCAGAGGCAAAATCGTGACACGAGAAATATAGAGAAAATTACTCAACAAACAAATCCTGTACAGTTATTTACAGATACAAGCACTACAGTCGCCCCAGAGGGCATTGAATCACATACGCTTGAAAATAAATATGCATCAACTCAAGTATCTGAACAAAGACATGACTTTCATGTACCAAAAATTCAATTGCATGAGTTCAGTAGAATGCCAGAATCAACGGCAAGAAACGTTCCTATAAGTGACTTAAAAATTATGGAAGGCACGAATTATCATCGAGAAGGTCATAGAGAACCCGACCAAAATATTTATGGGGATAATAAGAGATATACACAGGTTGACTATCCTCAATTTGACATCAATGATAACAATAAAACGCCAGTACCATCTACAGTAAACACTGAAATGCCTACTATAGAAAATAAAAATAAAAATTTGCGTAAGAAGCGTGACATGGGCCATGAACAACATAATCCTATAATTAGTAACAAAGAAGGTCTAACATCTTCCAAAAGATTTACTAACGATGATAATACTTCTGAAATTAATAAACCAAACAGTCAAACACAGCAACATCATCAAGACAATGGCCAATTTCACAAAAATATTGATATAAAAGAGAGAAAAGATCAAAACGAAAATGATTCATTCAAAGGACGTTATATTCCTGACGGATTAAAATTTAATGTGCCTAATTTAGGTACGCATAGAGATGCATCCTTGACAGATATTAACAAACTTTCAACATCTTCGTCGCAGATGCCCGCTGAATCCGCAAAACAAGAAGATAGCATTTATATTCATCAGCACTCTCAAATAAGAAACCAACAATCTAGTATCACAAATATACCTAAACAATCTACAAATCCATCTACTACAAAATCAGAAAGTATAAGTGAAAAGCAAGGTAATCTCGAAATTGATTCGAAAGTAACAGACAGTGTTAAACCAGATAATTCTGCAAGCGTTTCTAAATCAATTGAAGGGAACCATAGAGATATTCGAGATACAGCAATGGTTAAAACAAATGACAAAAAAGAAACCTCATTATCACCCATTGATAATCTCAATGACTCAAAAAATCCAACTACTTATACAACGACTATAGCCACATCCGAAAAGTCCGAAACAGATCAGCAAAAAGCACAAAATATCAGTGGTAGCCACATGATCTTACAAAGTAATTTAAAAATACCTACTGTACTTCATTTCGATACTGATGTCAGTGTAAATGACGGTAATACACCAATGGTTTCATTAGACACTGAAAATATGGAAAGAAATTCCAGGGCTACAGTGAATGATGCTAAAAACGAAACGTTATCTTCTACTAAAGTTTTGAAACACACTGCTAATAATAACATCAATTCAAATCAAAACAAATTTGAACTAACAACAAATCTAAAGGGTATCAAACCTGGTGAAGTGACAGGCGAAACTACTATTGAACCGCAGGAAAATATTGAGGTGCCAGTTGAATTCAAATCTGGGGTTTCAGATTCTGCACATCCTATTAATTTAACAACAGACGCTAATGAAAATTGTAAACAAAGAAAGAACCAATACCAAAAAAAAACAATAAGAAAAATTTCCCAAATATCAGTATGGCTATAAGTGGAAAAATAGGTACCAGCACTCAGAAAGGCAACACTGATAATAAAGATAGCAAATCTGCTATAACATTAACGACCGAGGCCGAGAAAACAATTACTTATAAAGACGAGAAACTTCAGCAACGACTTCCAATTATAGTGGCCACTGATCCAAAAACCACTGAAAGTCGGATTAATCCCAAATTTGAAATGAAAAATATTCCTCAACAATTTAACACAAACGTTTCAGTAAAAGAAAACAGCCAGTCTCCGAAAATCCCTCGAGATGTCAAGGAAACTGATAAAGTAGACCGAGACAGTGCATCTATAGAAGAGCTTAAAAGCGATATGTCACTAAAAGACATCAAAGTTAGCTCCACAGATTCAATTGTGACACCAACAGGTGCCAATAAAGAACAAGCAAAAGTATTTGAAAACAATAAGAACGAATCTACAGAAAAGTCCAGATAATACAAGATTAGATTGCCTACATACCTATTATCTAAAGATAGGCCTCCCCAATAGACTGCCACAAAGTCCTGCATCCATCGACTATCTGCGTGTTTCGTCGTGTCTCACTAGATGGAGTGACTACCTGATTTTCAATATAATTTATGATTACCAATGATTCGGAAAAACCTCTGGCCTAGGAAAAACCAGCAAGCAACCCAGCGGCACTTATTTAAACTAACATTATACTATAAAAAATAGGTAGTACAATTAAATATTCACAAATATCTTTCTTAGGTTAAGTAACCTCTGTTTTTCTTTTAATTTTGAGTGACTGTAATTTTAAATAAAGTAATAAGATTTATTTATGTAGAATAAACAAAGTATATTATTACACTTATATAAAACAATTTTTAATTCTTTCTATTATTTTTACTACTTTAACAATTATTGAACACTACTGACCCGTCGCTTCGTCTAAGTAGGTTAAATTTTGTCAATTTTTCTTTTTTTTTTAAATCTCACAAGTTTTTCGGATATACGTTTGATCTCTCCTGGCACTGCCCTCTATCTGAACATAAAGTGTCATCACAATCGGTTCGGCCACTCCGAATATTAACGCGGACAGATAGGCTGACAGACGGACGAAAATTAAAAAAAATATTATTTATGCCTTAACAGCATGCAAATAACTCCTTGTGCTTAATAGTAGCCGGATATTTTAATATTACATGCAGACACTTCAATTATATTTATATGTATGTGTGTGTGACTGCCTCGTTGGTCCAGTGGTTGTGGTAGTGCGACTACGTCCTGAGGTCCTGGGTTTGAATCCCGGGTCGGGTCAAAAAATTAATTATTGAGTTTTTCCGTCAAGAAATTCTCAGTAGTTGCCCGGAGTCTGGAATTTGGCGGTGTCTCACCCCCGTGCCTCGGAAAGCACGTAAAGCCGTTGGTCCTGCGCCTGATCTCTTTCCGGTCGTGTCGGTCTACCGTCCCATCGGATTATGTGAGTGAGGGAATAGAGAGTGCACCTGTGCTTGCGCATACACTTGGGCACTATAATCCTGTCCTGCGCCGATGGGTAGCCTCCGTTGCGGCAGGCCGCCGTGGCTGAAATTCGGTCTTGAGGACGTTATTTATATGTGTAGAACGAATATGTAGCATAACATAATTTGTACCGGTTTCAATCATTTTTTTATAGAATAAGTGTTACAAACGAGCACACAGTCCGCCTAATGGTAATAAGTGGTTACTGTGGCTCATAGACATCTACATTTTATCCTCGATTAAGAATCAAAACGCAGATGCGTTGTCACCCCTGAGGGGTAAGATGGAATGCCTCGTTTCCAGTAAAAAAGGGTATCCGCTTCTCTACACTCACCATACGGAACACAGCAGTATTAAACTGCTATTTTACGCTGGTATTGGTGCCGTGTAGTGGCGGTTGAGAATATCCACTACCCCATATCTTCCCGTGGGTGTCGTAAGAGGCGACAGAGGGAGACAGGCAGGAGATGGGCCCATAACAACTGTGATATAATAAAGAACTGCGGTTGCCAACCCGCTCGCCAAGCGTGGCAACTATGGCAAATATCCCCCCATGAATAACGACGCAAAAAACGACCCCCAGCCCCGGCGGCCCCGCTATTCCTGGCTACGGTGGCGACCATGGTTACGGCGGGGCAGGGGGTGCTAAGAATCTCCGGTGGAGGTTCGGTTGCCACCTACGACGACTCGACCTGGCAGCATATAACGCACGCACCCTGAGGACTGACGAGAAGATACTGGAGCTGGAAGAAGAGGTAGACAAGTTGCGCTGGCATATTATTGGATTATCCGAGGTCCGAAGAGAGGGGGAGGACACGGCAATCCTCGAGTCCGGCAACTTGTTCTACCACCGGGAGGGCGACCATCTGTCCCAAGGAGGTGTCGGATTTATCGTCCACAAGTCTCTCGTCAACAACGTTGTAAAGATTGGGAGTGTGTCGACGAGGGTCGCGTACCTGATACTCAGAATCACCAAACGGTATTCGCTGAAGGTCATACAGGTTTACGCACCAACCTCGGCATACCCCGATGAGGAGGTGGAGGAAATGTATGAGGATATTTCCAGAGCCATGCATTCCTCGAAAACCCACTACACGGTGTTGATGGAAGACTTCAACGCAAAACTAGGCACAAGAGAAAGCGGTGAGCTGAAGGTGGGGAAATTTGGAGTAGGGCAACGGAACCGAAGGGGCCAATAGCTGGCCGACTTTATGGAGAAAGAGGGACTCTTTATGATGAACTCTTTCTTCCAGAAGCGGCTTTACAGGAAGTGGACCTGGTCGAGCCCCGACGGTTCGACAAAAAATGAGATTGACTTTATTATGACGACCAGACGCCAACTGTTCATTGATGTCTCAGTAATCGCAAGGGTGAAAACTGGCAGCGATCACCGAATGGTTAGAGGCACACTGAACCTAAACGTTAAGTTGGAGAGGTCTCGTCTAATGAAGTCAACGCTCCGTCCCCCTCGTGCTCTAATCCAGAATCCCGAAACCTTTCAGCTCGAGTTACAAAACCGCTTTCAGTGCCTAGAAGATTGCAATGCAGTGGACGATATGAATGATAAGCTCGTGGAAACTGTACATGCGGTCGGAGCTAAGTTCTACAAGACCCGCCGCAGAAGAACACAAAAACTCTCCGATCACACTCTTAATCTCATGGCTGTTAGACGGGAGATGAGGCTGCAATCGTCAACAGATTTGACAGGATACAGGCAACTGAACAGACAGATCTCCAAATGCATGCGGCGAGACTTACGCAACTTTAATACTGCTCGTATTAAAGAAGCGATCGAGCGGAACCAGGGCTCCAAAGTCTTTGCCAGAGATCTGTCTGCCCGTAAGAGCCAACTGTCAAGGCTGAAGACTGAGTGTGGCAGCATCGTTTCCGGGACACCTGAGATTCTGAGTGAGATTGAGAGGTTCTATGGACAGCTGTACACATCATCGTTGGAGCCACACGCAAGTGTGAGTAACGATCCAAGAGCAAGTCTTATCCGACACTATTCCGATGATATCCCGGACGTCAGTCTGAGCAAGATTAGAATGGCTCTCCACCACCTTAAAAACGGCAAGGCCCCGGGCGAGGATGGAATTACAGCGGAGCTTCTGAACGCGAGTAACCCGGGTTCGATCCCCGCCGGCACCGATGAAATTGTTAATTGCAATTTTAAGTGCTGATTTACCACGTGCTCGGCGGTGAAGGAAAACATCGTAAGGAAACCTGCATGTCTGAGGAATAAGAAAAAAAATATTTCGAAGACATGTGAAGTTCGTCAACACGCATTTGGGCAGCGCGGCGGACACTTCCTTGCCCTAAAACCCTCTCAGAAATGAGGGGAGGCCTGAGCCCAGCAGTGGGACGTATATAGGATGTAACTTTTTACTTTTCTGAAAGCGGGTGGAACACCGAAACTTGAAGTCCTTCAGAAGCTCTTCAATTCCGTCCTCAATGGTGGCACTACTCCGGAGGCGTGGAGCAGAAGCGCGGTGGTCTTGTTCTTTAAAAAAGGCGACAACGCTCTCTTGAAGAACTACAGACCGATTTCCCTTCTGAGCCGCGTCTATGTGCTGTTTTCGAGAGTCATTACGAATCGTCTCGCACGCAGACTCGACGACTTCCAGCCTTCCGAACAAGCCGGTTTCCGAAAAGGCTTCAGTACCATAGACCACATACATACCCTGCGGCAGATTGTACAGAAGACCGAAGAGTACAATTTGCCACTTTGCCTGGCATATGTGGACTATGAGAAAGCCTTTGATTCCGTCTAAATTTGGGCGGTGCTACAGTCCCTTCAGCGGTGCCAAGTTGACTGTCGGTATATCGAAGTGCTGAAGTGTTTGTACAGTAGGGCTACGATGGCTATCCGAGTACAGAACCGGAGTTCGAAACCTATCCAACTGCAGAGAGGTGTAAGACAGGGTGACGTTATATCCCCGAAACTCTTCACCGCTGCATTGGAAGACGTTTTCAAGCTACTGGACTGGAAAGGATACGGTATTAACATCAATGGCGAGTACATCACTCACCTTCGATTTGCCGACGATATAGTCCTTACGGCAGAATCGCTGGAGGACCTTAGCACTATGCTCAATGACCTCAATGGTGTCTCCCAACGGATAGGTCTTAAGATGAACATGGACAAAACAAAGATCATGTTTAATGTCCATGTCACACCTATGCCGGTAGTTGTTGGGAGCACTATGCTCGAAGTTGTTGACGAGTACTTTACCTGGGACAAATAGGCGCACTAGGTAAGTCCAACTTCAGCTGCGAGTTCACTCAACGGAATTTTTTTATAGGACAGGGTGACAAACGAGCACACATTCCACCTGATAGTAAATGGATGCTGTGGCCCATAGACATCTACATTTATCCTCGTTTGAGTATGAAGTGTAGAAATAAAGAGTACCAACTCCCATAGTAGAATAGTTGAAAAAGTGTCCATCTGTAAGCAGTAAATAACAGTTCAAAAACTCTTCACTACAGCGCTCGAGTAACTAGAGGATATGAAATGAACTTAACAGTTCTCGATGGTGTGAAGTGTGCTGCTAAACTGCTCAGTAGCTCTAAAATCTAAAATAATTTTATTTAGTAAATATAACCTCGAAAAAGTTGTCTATCCCACTTTTCGGCACATTCTTTAAAATTTAGCCCGTAGCTATAGTTGCGTCACCCTTATTTAACGATTTTCTATGAACACTTTTTAATACACAGTCTGTACTCCTTACTTCTACACTCCACACGTTTACGAATCAAAATGCAAATGCGTTGTCACCCGTAATTACTAAGATGGAATGCCTCAATTACAGTAAAACGGGTCTCTGGTTCTCTACTCACGATACAAAACACAGCAGTATTAAGCTGCTATTTTACGCTGGTATTCTGTGAGAGAGTGGTCCTTCTCCAGTCGAGTCGAACCATTCGTACTACAACCATAATATAGCTGCAGCATGGCTCTACCACGAATT